AACAGTCACCCGTTAGGCCAGAACCCGCTCAAAATAAGCAATATCAGAACATCTTAAAAATAAAGAAGATATACATTATGAGCAAGAGATTATCTCTTGCCATGCGTCATTGACAATAAATATATCATTCTCGTCCCCAGTGCTACTAGTCTTAAAATGTCGTGACCAAAGGAAACAGAGGCTCTCGGGACGAGAATGTAAATATATACTTTGGACTTGTTTTGTGTCCTTTTTTTTTTTGAAAAGCATACTTAAAGAAAAAGTAGCATAATTTTAAAAAACGAGCATAATTTTGAGCATAATTTGGAAAAAAAACAGGCAATGCTAGTAGCATAATAGGCTACTTTTCCTNAACAGTCACCCGTTAGGCCAGAACCCGCTCAAAATAAGCAATATCAGAACATCTTAAAAATAAAGAAGATTTACATCATGCGCAAGAGATTATCTCTTGCCATGCGTCATTAACAATAAATATATAATTTGGACTTGTTTTGTGTCTTTTTTTTTGAAAAGCATACTTAAAGAAAAAGTAGCATAATTTTAAAAAACAAGCATAATTTTGAGCATAATTTGGAAAAAAAAAACAGGCAATGCTAGTAGCATAATAGGCTACTTTTCCTAGCTAATCTATAAGTACTACTAATCTATATTTTACCACAATTGCTACTTGTCTCGCAATCTGATTGGCTAATTTGCCGTTGTCGATAAGAGTCTAGACAACGCTGTTTGCGTCAATGTGTCACGCTCTTGATCACGCCTAAAAGAAACATTTTCTTTGACGTTGATATTGTGGTTAAAAACAAATTGAATGTGGTTTAGCGTTGTCTGTACTCTTATCGACAACGCGTATGCCTCATCACAGTGGTCAAAATTTGTTGTGGACTCAGTCGGCTGTGCCTCGTGAGTCCACAGCATTTTGACCACTGTGATGCCGCATACGCATTCTCGATAAGAGTACAGACAACGCTAAACCACATTCGATTTGTTAAAGTGCCTAGGGCGGGATTGG